AGGGGGGTAGCATGAAGGTACCTGCTGTTCTCCCGCAGGTGCTAGTCATAACAATGTGAAAGTCTAAACTCTTCATCGCCACGTGTGATGCTGTGGTGAAGGCTTCATTGCACGCTTGTTCTTTTTCGCTCCGTTAGTGCCTCCTTATGATTGTCTTCAATCTAAACTATCTAGCCAGCTTCTCTGCAGACTGCTCGTTCATTTAAGTGCATGAATATCCTTGGGTTTATTTGAAAGGTCCCTCATTGTTTTGACAGCAAAGCATGTTCTTTTGGAGACTAGAACCTGAATGCTTTGTGTCTTAAATACCAGTGGCTTGCTTTCTGGAAGAAATGTGAATTGTCTGTTCTTTGTGCTCCAAAATATGTGTTAGGAAGCAGAGACGCTTCCTGACCTGCTCAGCCTGTGGCCGGCAACCCCAAGGAAGCGTTGAACAGGCTGGTCTGACAAAGAACTGTTCTCACTGACAGCATTGAACGTCTGCAACAACTTACGTTATACACAACTTCATCTCTTAGAAACAAAACAAATGCCACCCCCCCCCCACCCCCCAAACAAAACCAACCAAAAAACTAACCCAATACTCAAAAAAGAAGAAAAAAAATAACAAACCCACCCAAAACCCAAGAAAAAGTTAAGGCGAATGCGGCAAAAATTGACAGCATTACAGGTACTGTATATTTTTGGAGAATTCTGAAGGGTGTACATCAAAGGTACAAGAACTGCTCCTGGCCAAGCAGTGCTTCTGGGAATATGTTTGTGTCAGATATGAAAATACATCAATTTCTCATGTATTATCTGAAATTCTTTGTATCAAACAAAAGAAGTGGCTCTTAGAGAAAATGATTTCTTAAAAAAAAAAGTTGTTTGAAAGTGAATATTTGGAACTTATATTTTACTAATTTCTTCTTTAGTTCTTCATTTGCTTTGTTGGACCCCTCATTATGTGTAAAGGCCAAAAGGATAAAGAACAGTTATTTATATTTTCCAGTAGGTTAAAACAGAACAGCTCTGGAAGAGGCCTCGTAAGGAAATGAACCATTTGTTCTGCCTTCCAGCTTTCGGCTAAATTTTTTCAAAGAGA